GGCATCACTGTACGAAGCTTTTGAGACGAAGTTGAAGCAGCAAACGCATGCCAACGTAAAAGCCATTTTCGTCGAGTAGGCAAAAACGCGGAAGCAGCAGCGATGCCCGAACACCGATATCCCGAAGTTTTACTCTGAGACTTTGCGCTATCAGTGGCATGTTTCCAAAGATGCCGCGCAGATTGAACAGGAAATGGATAACAAAGGCTTTCGCAAAGAATGTTTGTGCGCGTTCAACTCCAGGGTTCTTCTGATTTATGTCTAAGGAAGAACCCGGCGGCCCACTTCGCGCAGTCAAAAGCTGCAAGTTAGCAGTCCAGCATTCTGCACTTCTGTTGATTGATGTTTGGCAGCATTTATTGATGCCAAATTCCGAAGTGCAGCTCAGTTGCAATGAAAGAACTCCATCACTCAACAAATGCGCCAGCAATTCCAGTTATTGCAAAGGACCCGCACTCAGCTGATTACCTACGGAGGCCTCAAGAAATGCATTCAGAGTCGAAACCAGTGAGGGTAGGAGCAAAACAATTTTTATAATATGGTTCTTCTATCTATACTCAAAATAATCTGCATTCAAAATACTCACAGCCCCTGGTCTGGCTTTCTCTGTCTTGTGTTCATGTGGGGTTCTGTGGATCCTAATGGCCTCACAAAGTAGTCTAATTCATTTTACTTCTTTTGCTTTTCCTCACCTCTGCTCAAACTGCCCATGTTGAGCTTAATTGATTTCAACATCTCTGATAAATTTCTTGCAAATCTCAATTGAAAAGTTTGCAAATAATCAATTCACAAAATCTCATCTTGGCAAACCCTTGTGCCACTATTTTCATGAAGTTTGCAACTTTCGTCTGGCGATCTGCTCTCAGCAAATAATTGGAATTTGGCGGAAAAAGGAAAGTTTGTTTGAAGTTCAACATATGGCTTGTTGAATAGCTTTTTAACTTGTTTCCCGAATAGTGTTGCTGCAAAACTTTTCTTTGAAAACTTTTTGGATTCTTCCTGAAATTTTCTCAACAAGATTCTCTATTGAAATGCGAGGAGAGAAGTGGCAACTGGCCGTCTTTTTAGAGGCTGCTGCTGCTGCTTCTCGGGCTGCTGCTGCTGCTGCTGCTGCTGCTGCTGCTGCGACACAGGCGAAGTCGGAAGCAGCAGCAGCTGCTGCTGCAGCTGGCGAGACAGAGAATTTGAGGGAGACGCAGCAGCAATATCGGCATTCTGCAGCAGCAGCAGCAGCAGCAGAGGCAGTGCCAGCAGCAGCAGATCCACGGGCAGCAGCAGCAATTGCTGGAAATTGAATAGCAACTTCTGGGCATCACTGATTTGCGCAACTACCACTGAATGCACAAGAACTTCACTAATATAATGGATCTGAGGATTGCTGAATTAAACACTTTATGAATATCAGAATCAACTTATTTACATCAGATGAATAATACTACAATTGCTGCACCCAGCTAAGCTCCTACGTAGAGGCACACTTTTCAAAAATGCCTAAGCCACCAAAGAAAACAAAAACAAATTTTTAATGTTTTTGTCTTTTTGTTATTCAAGGACACTTTCTGCGTCTCTCTGTGATACAGCAGCGGCTGCTTGATCTCAGTGGGCAAAGGCGAGAAAGAGGTGTTGCTGCTGCTGCTGCTGAGAGAGATGTTTTGCTGCTGCTGCTGCTGCTGCAGCAAAACATCTCTTTCACTTTTGCTGCTGCTGCTACTGTAGCAGCAACACCTTTCTCTCGCCTCTGCTGCTGCTGCTGCTACAGCAGCAACACCTCTCTCTCGCCTTTGCTGCTGCTGCTGCTGCTGCTGGTGCAGCAACGCCTCCCTCTCGCCCTTGCTGCTGCTGCTGCTGCTGCAGCACAGCAGCAGCAGAGTTATGTCCGTGTTAAAAACCTCTGCCGAATCTCAAAGCACTCCAAGATAATGGCTGCATGCATGAAAGGCTGCAGCTATTTGCATCAAACACAAGAAAAACTTGAAAGCCTTTCAGTGTTTCGAACTCCTTTGGAGAGTGTTGATCTCACAATAAGTTTAGGAAAATAGAAATTAAACTTTTCTTTTCAAATTGTTTGGAACCTAATCAAATCCGGCTGCTCCCACACTGGCAGATGCAGCAGTTGCGAGCCCTCTAAAGTCTAAGTTGAACAAATTAAATGCCTCATTTTGCTGCTTTTTACAATTTAATTGACTCAAGAATCTTCAAAAATGATTAAAAAATAAAAGTTTTAAAACAATACTTCAGCAGCTGCAAAAGCCGCTGCCTAAGAGCTGCTTGAGCTTCTTAGCAACAATCAAATGTTTCTTTTTGATTTTATATTAAGTGCAATTGTTGAAGTTTCACATTTTAATTTTTAAATGTTTTATTTCGAGAATTGCAAATTTCAATTAATTATTCTCGAGTGAACATTTCGCATGCATGCGCTCCTGCGATCCTGTCGCTGCGCATGCAGAATTCAACTTTCCCAAAGCCCCAAAAATTCCACTTGTTCAAAAAATGCAAAATAACTTCAAAATTTAAAATTTCGAAATAACTTCAAATTTTAAAATTTCGAGAAAAGTTTGAAGTAGAATTTGCTTCTGCTCAAAATATCTCAAACTGTTTCCTCATTTTACCTCTTCACTTATTCCACATAATTGTTTTTTTAAATCCATTTTTTTATTTTTAGAAAATAAGAATGGAATGGACAAAAAGCCATTTGCTGCACTCGCAGCGCCTCGTGCATGCGAAAAAAACTATTTTTTTGCATTTTCTTTGCCAAAGAAATTGCCAAGGGGTTGCTGAATCACTTAACTTCAATAATCAAAAAAAGAAAAAAAATATTTTTATTTGAGTTCCTCTTATTCTCTCAGACAAACTAGCCTAAGTTTTCTGGATTCACTTTGCATTGTTGATCCATTTTGATCCCTAAAGCAATATCTAAAATACAATTTTAGATTTCAAATAATTATTTAAAAATTCAAATCAGACGCTCACTTCTTCGGGGCTTTATGCATGCATGCGTCAAGCCCCAAAAAACTCCCAAGGTACTATTTTATAAAATAAAATAAGAGAAATGATGAAGACTGGAAGCAGCCAAATGCATGCATGCATCAAGCCCCAAGGAATCCCCAGGGCACTATTTTATGAAATAAAATAAGAGAAATGGAGAAGACTGGAAGCAGCTAAATGCATGCATGCATCAAGCCCCAAAGAATCCCCAGAACACTATTTTATAAACTAAAATAAGAAAAATGATGGAGACTGGAAGCAGCCAAATGCTGCACTAAATGCATGCAAATGGCCAGCCATGGGAGGCCTCTTGTCTTCGCGCAAAGAGCTGCATGCAAGTTTGCATGCAAGTCGAAGTGGGCGGGTCTGAAGATCCCTTTAAAGGGATTTATTGGGGCTTTTGAACAATGTGGCATTTGGAGAAAAGTTAGTCTTGGGACTTCAAACTTTTATTGTCTTTTTGCCCTCATGGGAAATTGCATGCAAAGTTCCAAAATTAATAAAATCGGGAAACATTTTCATGGGGCATTGGATCGCTGGGATCGACCGGGAGAGTGTTGGGAGCAGGGCTTAGGGTTTAGGGTTTAGGGTTTAGGGTTTGGAGTTTAGGGTTCGGGGTCTAGGGTTTAGGGTTTGGAGCTTAGGGCTTAGGGTTTAGGGTCTAGGGTTTAGGGTTTGCCGCGGCCCCCACCGCAGAAATAAGCTAGGACTTGGTCTAAATAACCCAAGCTTGTGCAGGGGCTAGCAGGATAATGTCTTTGGCGGATTTGTTGAGCAAAATAATTGGTTTTTGGTGGCTGAAAAACAGCTGTTAGAATAAAAACTTTTTCTGGAATTATTCTAAAAAAGAGTTTCTTGAATTGGGCGTTTTTGGCTTTCTAAAAGAGCCCCGGGGTGTATCTACAGGAGCACTGGAAGTGAATATTTCCCCCGGAGTGGACTTGGCTTGCAAAGATAATAATGGAATAAAGAATTTCATTTCAATCTTTTTGTTTTACTCAAAAGAAAATATATTTTGAGAGAAATTTAATTGCTAGGAATAATAACAACGGAAGAGAACAATTCAACTTCAATCTTTTAGTTTTCCAAAACTTGAAACAAAGAGTTGTGTTGTGTAACTCCTCTCTGGCTGATTTCTGCCGGATCTGCTGCTGCTGCTGCACTAAATAAACATAAATTTCATCAATTAAATTGCATTTTAAAAGAATTGCTGCTGCATCTTTTCAACTCAAACAAAACCGTGAAAAGTGGAGGTCACTCGGGTGTTCGTACACCTCGGAGGCCCCACAGCCTGCTCGAGCCCTCGCAGGGGCAGCAAAGGACAAATCATTAATTGATTTAATTTATATTTAATTATAAAACGCAAATTAATTGCAATTTCAAACAAAGAAGACTCTCCCGCTGCAGCGCCACCGACAGCAGCAGCAGCAGCAGCAGCAGCAGCACGAGCAGCAGCAGCAGCAGCCCGCAGGTGACCTGCTGCTGAGGGGCTTTTTCTTGTTTCTCCCACAAACCGGCTAGTGGCTAATCGGTGAGGGGTTTACTCCCCTTTCTATCTCTTTGTTTATTTTTAAATGAAATAAATAAATAACAAACAAAGAGGCGACACCCCACGCCGCAAGCAGCAGCTGTACGTACACCTCAGTGGTCAGACAGGTAACAAACTGCAGGCCTTCTTTCTCGTGTCACAGCAGCAGAACAAGCAGCAGCAGCAGGTGCAGTAGCAGCAGAACAAGCAGCAGCAGCAGGTGCAGTAGCAGCAGCAGCAAAAGTGTCAAACGAGCAGCAGCAGCAGCATCCGCCGCAGCAGCGGCACCGCAGCAGCAGCAGCAGCCTTTTTGCAGCGGATGCAGTAGCAGTTCTGGGAAAGTAGCAGCAGCTGCAGATGCAGTAGCAGCACTGCAGCAGCAGCAGCAGCAGCAGCAGCAGCAGCAGCATGCAGCAGCGGAGGACCCTCCTGCTGCCAATCCAGGAGGCCCCCGAGGCCCCCCCCAGGGGGCCCCCATCGCAAACCT